TTTCCCGCATCTATCGTTTTCCCGCATTCATCGTTTTTATTTCCCACCCCCGCCGAAAACGATGCATCGAGGTTTCACTGTAGTAAATTTAGTTCTAGCAGGAACATAGGGAATTGTTTTTCTTGACTGCCATGTCTTAGGGTGATGTGGAACCGACAAGACTACTGTGCATTGTAACTCAGTATCTGCTTAGTGATGTGTGGGTGGCTATAGATCCCCTTGTTTACTGAAATGTCTAGTATGGCGTCTGTCATTTTCTGGATGTTATCAAAATATTTGTGATGATAGGCCAACCTTAGAGTCTTTCATCAACTTCAGTTGCCGCGAAAGCTTCACTTTATACACCGGACAATATGCGTTAGCAGGATTGTTAATTTGTGAATCTGCACACCTAAAAGTAGGTTGTGTTGATTTTAGAAACACATCTCCTCTAAAATGAATTTCTGGATGTAGTATTTGATCACTTCTTAACTTTTTGCAGCATAATTTTTGTAAATGCAAAATTCCTTGGCATTGTAAATAACTTTTTAGTTTTTTTAAGACTATTTACTACCCTGAGATGTACGTTCTGCAAAGAAGAGTTTACTAATAAAATTTTCTGCATTCTGTTTATGTCTAAAAGAAGCCATGGCTACCACTTAACATGACAGCACTAACTGGAACTTTGAAAACAAAACTATATCTCACAGGAAGAATTATATTTAACATAGGCAGATGCTTGTATGTATTGCCAACAGATGTCCCACACTTACAGAAAAAAAATCATTGCATGAATACAGTATTCATAGGGCCATGAAGTTTGAACTCACAATAATGTGAGTTCTGTGGAAATTGGCTGCTAACTTGCCTTGTAATGTTGTGAGCTTTGCAGCGAAAGGGTTTAGGCAAGACACGATTGGCACAATGCTGGCTTGCCAAAGTGGAGTCTACTGGAGTTTTACAGCCCTGCTCACTGGATGCTTCATGCCATGATGTTTAGAGAAGGAAGTCACTCTGTAGGGTTAGAGCTGTGCTAAGATGTCATGGCTTGAACAAGCACTGGCAAAAGAATTCTGATTCAGGAGTAAATGTTCGGCAGTTATACTTACAACCCAATAAAGATGGCACTGTTTGTAGTGTCTAATTTGGCATTGAATAAAACATATTATTTTGCCTAATTTGACATATTGTCATGGAATTAACTTAGAAGAACTGACGTAGACAAAATAGCGTTACAAGAACCAGTGAATTGAGTAATATTTAAACCATGCTCCACCTGAATACGAATCAGATGTATTTCTGTCGGTGCCATATGACCATAGTGATAACATTTTGTTTCAGGCTTCCTATTATAACACAGGATATATTCTCCTGGTTGCATTTAAAATGAATGAAATGTTCCCATTGTCTGTGAGGTATCGTAATCAAATCTTGGAAATGTAGTGTCTTAAATTCATTGTCTCCTTGCTTTTAGGGCAAGTGGCTATTTGTAGAGAAGTGCTTGTATTGGCTATTTTGAGTTGCATAATCATTTATAATTTGTGTGAGTAGATTGTGAGGTCGTTCTCCAGTGGTAAGCGTGAGGGTGGTGACTTTGTTTGCTGTACCCTGTCGCCACGTGGAGAGTGGATATACTGTGTTGGAGAGGACCTCGTGCTGTATTGTTTCTCGACGGCATCTGGCAAGCTGGAACGGACTCTGAACGTGAGTATTATTGCAAGATGTTGGCATTCAGCGTTTTAATGTGCGTAGAGAGATCACAGCACCATTTAATGAATGGCTTAGAAATTTGGCACAGTCAAAGTTTTGCAAAATTACAAAAATAGAATGCAAAATATGTATTTAGGCTTTATTTTGTAGTACTAGCTGATAAGTTATTGTAAATAAGCATATTACAATTTTATATAGCCACAAATTATAAGCCTCTTCAATGTTCATATGTGGAATACTTTTAGGAGTGTTAGATATTTCAGATATGATGAGAGTATTCGGAGTTTTAAAATCTATGCAGGCAGAACTAGGTAGAAGAAAAGGACATGATTAGTTAAAAAGTTACGGGTTTACAATCTGTACTACTCCCTCTGTACGGATGAAACCATTTAAAGAAAGATAATTTGCAAGTTCTTACCCTGACTTTTGTGCTCCTGCTCCAACACCGCTTGAATTTCATGCTGTATTTATATGATACATCCTTTTACACATTAAGACCTGTACTTATGAAGCTTGCGTAATCATCGGAAACAGTCCGCTTTGTGGAGCAGAACATGACACTGTTATTTTGCAAAGACTAAAACAGTTCCTTTGGCTGCAAAGTCAGAATTAAATGATAATTCAACATGCGCTGTTGGTGGAAACTAAACACAGAAGCAGCACAGTATCTAGAACCCACTGGAGCTGTCGTGTCGCTGGTTGCATGTGTTGGTTAGATCACTGCTTCCCAAACTTTTTCTTTCATTACCCGAAACCGCTTATCAGAAAGTCCTTTTTACCCAACGTAGGTAAAACACTAACTGCACAGAAAACATATATGACAAGTAAAAATTAGGATTTGAATATTCATTATATTATTTTAAATAAATTAAAATTATATAATGAAGATTACCTTTTCCAATTGTGTACGGTACGATTCATAAACACAGCCAACTCGATACGTACCTCACACCGCCATAGCTAGCAACACACTGCACCTAAAGTTTAGACTAGACAACTAGACTCACTAACTTTAGTTTAGGGGAGCGGTAGGTGTAGACGTACTTTTTCAATTCTCCATGTGCATGCAAGCGTGGCAAAAATGATTGAATCTAATAACAAGAGTATGGCTCATATATTAAATAGCGAATAAATACTCGTTAGACTGTTTTAGAGTATCGGTGCACAATGACTGATCGCTTTCTTCAGAGTACTTCTACACTTCTACGGTAAATTTTAATGTGTATTCTGAGTTGTGTCGGTACCCAAAAAAAACCACTTTTACCCCTTTTGGGTAATTTACCCAGGTTTGGGAAGCACTGGGTCAGATGGTTAGAAAAGGAATTTTACGTTAAAATTAAAATTATTAGAAATTGAAATACCGAGGTATTTCATACCAGATAATGTGTTGCCATTCAGGGCAGAAGTCCAGTTCTAGGCAGTGGGATGCAGTTATGTATGTCGTGGCATTACTGTTCTAGTGTAAATGCTGTTCTTTGCGTTGCAAGTAACTACCTCCATGGACCAAAACCCTTGAGAAGCTAATATTATGCTCAGCTAGTTAAGAAATTGTCCTCACTTTAAGGAACCTGGAGGTTCATCACAGTTTTCAGAAGAACCCACCACATGTCCCCCTCCTGAGCCAGATTAACCGAATCCATACACCTAAATTATCTCTAAGATCCATTTTAATGTTATATTCCCATCTATGTTTAGGTCTTCTGAATGGCGTCTTCTGTTCAGGCTCTTCCGGCCAAACTTTTGTACTCATTTCTCGTCTCCCCCACGCGTGCTCATGCCCCACTCATTTCATTCTCCTTGGTTTGATTATCTTAATTATATTTGGTGAATAGTATAAACTATGGAGCTACTCATTATGCAGTTCCCTTCAGCCTCCGTTACTTGTTTTCTCTCACGTCGAAATATTCCCCTCAGCGCCCTGTTATCAGACACCATCATTGTTCTTACCTTAATGTGACAGGCTAGGTTTCGCACCCATACAATACAATAGGTAATGTTTGTTTTTTTATATGGCAGATGGGGAAGGCAGAACATTATAAACTGAAATTTATTTATTTTATTTTTGTCATCAGGTTCACGAGAAAGATGTGATAGGAGTGTCACATCATCCGCATCAGAACCTGTTGTGTTCATATAGTGAGGATGGACTGCTGAGACTCTGGAAGCCGTAGACAGCTCGTCTGTTTTGTGCAAGCTTCTGTGTTGATCAGTGTAATGTGTATTATAGAGCACATTGAATGTATTCCTGTTAATTTTGCCACTGTAGCGTATCCTTACCTTCATTCCAAACACTTTTGTCCAATTTTTAAATACCTAACGTAAGCAAAATCTTACATCTTAAGATGTTCAATGCAGAAGCTATTTTCTGTGGCTCCTGTGATAGCTATACAAAACTTTCAGCGAAGTGACCATCACTCTAGCTTCTTATATGGGAGGTTTGATGTTCAAATCTCAGCATGGACACTGACTCTTTTGACTGTTGTTTTTGTGGTTTTTCTTAGTTTTTCACAACAAATTCTGGAATAATACCTTAAAAATAGTCCATGATTACTTACATCTCCTTCACAATTCACTTATCATACATTCATTTGACATTAGATAATGTGCAGTTGATGAATCATCATTCATTATACTATAGCAGTACTTCTCAACCGGTTAGTCTGAGACGTTCTTGGTTTGAATGAAAAGGTTTGAGACTCCGAAGGTATAAAAAGTCTTAAAATATGATTTAGTAATGTCAAAAAATAATTACTTATGAACCTTAAAGACATCTGTGAAGTGCTTTTAAATTTTAATATCCTTGAGGATGACCGTCTTCTGTGTTGTAATGCCATGTAGTGTGGCAGAAGTTTGCCATTTCAGAGGCCTTCATCATCAGGGAAATGGGACTTATTGCCCTGATGATGGAGGCAGCAAGGGCTGCTGAAATGTTGGCAACTTCTACCAGACTGTGGCGCTGCAACCCAGATGACAGCCATCTTCATACTCTCTGCCATGAGAACCTCAAATCCTACTTTAAAGTCCTTGTTCTGAATTGGAGCCAGGATAGCTCAGTCAGTCATATTGACTGGCTATGGGCTGGATGACCGGTTCGATCCCCAACAGGGGCAGAGGATTTTTCCTCTAGTCTCTGCATCCAGACCAGCTCTGGAGCCTACCCAGCCTCGTATCCGTTGGGTATTGGGGTCCTTTCCCAGGGGTAAAGCGTGGCCAGAGCGTCATGCTGACCTCTCCCCCCCAAGCAACCTACATGGCGTGTGTGGGACTCCTTTATTTTACTTTTTATTCTGAATTATTGTACTTTGTATGTGTGTGTGTGTGAATGGGTGCATATTAAAAGTTTCAAAATGGTAGAATTGTTATTGGAGGGGGAGTAATTAATAAAGTACCGAATGTAGTTGCACTAGAACAATTCTGTTATGTTTTGTGGCCTGCCATATGTGGACGAATGCAGATATGCAGCATTAATAAATCGCCCAACAATCACACCGTAGTGTTCAGGTTTTTATTATTATTTCTTCTTCTCTTTTCACAGATTTTTCCTTTTCTTGATACCGGTCCTCCTGAACCATTGATGAATCCCACTACTCAGGCTTCAAGTTTGAGATTGTAACTTTCGTTATAAAATGTTATGTTCCTGGCATGGGGCTGCTTTCTGCAGAGAATCTATAGAAAACTTTCCTTTTATTCTTTCAAGATTTTTTTTAGGCTCTTTAGTTACAATTCCTGTGGCCCCAGTGACTACTGGTATGACGAAACATTTCGTATTTTACGTTCACTGAATTTGTTCACTCAAGATTTTTGTATTTCTAATTTATTTTTCAGTCTCCTTCTGTATTACATTCCTATCCAATGGCACTGCTACATCTGTTAATAAGCAAATGTTACCTTTCTAGTTTTAATTATTAAGTCTGACCTACTTGCTGCAACTTCTGCGTTTTGTTCCCCTCGATTCCGTAGTACTGTTACATCTTCGTGTTCATATACTGACACAGGTATGAGTTAGGCAGGGTCTCCCACCTTTTATTATCTTAAGTTCTTGTGCCAAAGTTCTCTTTGAAAATTCTTTTTTATAACCTTGATTAACACTGTGGGATTACAGGTTCTCAGTCGTATGAAAATGGGCGTCTTCTGGGTTGTATCACCATGTAGCCTGGTAGAACTTGCCAACATTTCAGAGGTACTTGCTGCCACCATCATCAGTGTGATAAATCATTGCCATGACAGTGGAGGAGAGCAGAGGATTTGCCACTGACATGGACGTATGAGTAAGAGGTCATTAAAGGTTAACAGTTGCGATAAGTTTGATCATGCACAGCTTCTGGCCTTAATATTTTCTTTTGGATCACATAATTCCCCC